GGAGGTGAGAAGAGGAGGAAAAAGTCAGAAGTTGATTACCTCATGTAGACTCACCAGTCACAGCTGTAAGCGCTGACATAAACAAAGTCAGGCTTGCCTCAACCCACACTTGGAGGAGTACCTGTGGAGTACCAGAGGCCTGGGAGCTTCAGGGTTCAGTATCTTTGCTGTTCCCTGGACTGCGCTCTTCTGGACAGAGATCTCGGATGTCATTCCTGAGATATGCTGGAGCCACTTGCCCAGGTCACTGCCTCACGTGCTCTGTTTACCACAAGCACCACTTTTGCCTTCACCCTCCATATCTTCTTGAGCTCCTCTCTCAGCCCTTGGTATTTCTCGAGTTTCTCGTGTTCCTTCTTCCTCATTTTGCTATCATTTGGTATAGATAGATCTATTACTACACCCGTCTTCCTCTGCTTGTCCACCACTTCTCTTTCTGGTTGGTTGGCCATTACTAGTTTGTCCGTCTGTATTTGGAAGTCCCACGGGATCTTATTCGGTCATACCCAACCATCCTGGGGCACATATCCCATTATCACTTCAAACTTCCAGGCTATGCTTGGCACTGATGTTTTTGCTGTTATGTGCTGGATTGTCTCAGAGGCATCTTTACACAGCCTGCACCTGGGGTCTTGCCTGGTGTGGTAGACCCCAGCCTCTATGGACCTTGTGCTCAGAGCTTGTTCCTGTGCTGCTATGATCAGTGCCTCTGTGCTGTCTTTCAATCCAACTTTGTCCAACCACTGGTCGGACTTCTAGATGTCAGCCACTTCCTCTCTCTGATCACACAGTTTTTTTATTGGTATGTGTATGTGTCTAAATTATAAGGGATCAACTAGGTAGTTAGTTTAACCATTGCCATGACTAGCATGCAATGTAGAGAATCTCAAAGTTGTACTGATCAATATTAAAACGAATAATAATGGAAATATGGAATGTAAGTATTCTCTGTGTTACCCCGGGCAGACTGGCTTTCTGTGACCTTAATGGAAGAGAACAGATGGATGGATGGAAAATATTTTGATTTACAGATACTGTGGTTAACTACCAAGTGTCTGATCGACGAAATGTGTTTATATTGGACTTAAATTAGATGCTACTGCAGAAGTAAGGCTACGTTCACACTGCAGGCAAAAGCGCATCAAATCCAACTTTTGTGACCCTCTGTGACTCATATCCGTTCATGGTGTGACAGTGTGAACGGCGCAAATCCGATATTTTCAAATCCGATCTGGGTCACTCTCGTATGTGGCACTGAATCCGATACATATCTGATGTTTTAGAAAGCGACTGCTGTTTGAACGGTCAGGTCGCATTAAATCCATCTTTTACGTCACTGACACAAGACAGACGCCAATTATCAGCGCCAGAGAAGACATCGCGAACGCTTCCTGGCCATCCTGTGTAGATGTCAGGGAAACTGTTGGGAAGACAGCGTGAACATTTTATTTGTACTGTATAATCTGCAGATTCTGACATAAATCTGCAACTATCCTTTGAAGCACTGCTCCTCTAAAACTGCAATAAGGATCATTATTAGGTTATTTACATTATTATGTAAATAACAAAATAACTTAAAGCAAAAATTGGGAAACGTAAAGTCCGAAGTCTTTATATTAAGGTCATCAGTCAAACAATACTGTTGCTCTGGGTCTAAACAGAGCGCGTTGTGTGTGACGTCTTCTTTTGCGCATGCGGCCGCTTTGAGCGTTCACACTAGAGCGCGTTTGCTGTCGCATTTTATTTGTAGTGTGAACGAGCAGACAAAAAAATCGGATTTGATCAAAAAATCGGAATTGAGCATTAAGACCTGCAGTGTGAACGTAGCCTAAGAGAAACAGGCAGAGCCAAAGACTGGTACTAATTCCATAATGTTCTTCAGTCAAACTGTATCAGGTAAAGCTAGCTGTTCACTGGTTTGCCATTCTGTATATTGCTGCATTACTGTGTAAAACTGTCTTTCAAAGAGTGGGGAAACTGTAATCTGTCTCGTATTCATTCTGTGCTCCTTCCACAGGCAGCCTCTCTGCCAATGTCTGTCATCATAGTAGGAGTGGGCCCTGCTGAGTTTGATGGTAAGTGCTTGTGTGTGACATGGAAGAGGGGATGTGCTGAGTACTTTCACGCTGACAGATACATGTCAGAGACGTCGTTATTTGTTTCACAAATACAATCGAGCATCTGTTTCTTTGCTGTGCTCCATTATGTAGCACTGTTAAAACCAACTGTTAAAACCAACCTTGCAGGAGCAAAGAACATTTCAGCCTATAGTGTGTATTCCAGGGCACAAACCTCATTGGTTCCTACTTACAGTATATGTCTGTAATATCATTCAGTTCTCCACATGGTTTAATCATTTAAAATGGAGCTGTAGTAACCCGCAGAAAATGTCAGCCTCAGTACATCCAAGGAGATAAAAATGTCCCAGTGGAAAACCCAACCTATCTAAAGTGAATACCAAATACAAACCGGCATGAAAAGTCAAATGGCTCCAGGACACTACAAGAAAAAATTAAATTTGGGCTCTTGAGAGAAAATAATTTTCCTGAAGAAAATGTCCTGTGACTGCTGTAAAGCTGACTGAAGCAAATAGAAATATATATTTATATGTGTGTGTGTGTGTGTGTATGTATTTGTTAATGTGTGTGTATAGATAGATAGATAGATAGATGTATATTTGTTTTCGATCTGCACACGTTTCTCTTCACAGAGCAGGTTCACATTTTTTTATTTTTGGTCTTGGACAAAGCCTCACAGACATCCGTCCAGAACTTTTGTATTTTGGGACGGGACCAAAACATATGAATCAAGGTGGCCTCTGCCAATTTACATCTTTCGCACGTTGGGTCAATCGGGGGATACATCTTTGCCAATTTCAATTTGCTGAGATGAACCCTGTGCACTATTTTAAACTGCAGAAGGCAATGTCTTGCACACATGGAGGACGAGTGAATATTACTTAAAACATCGCCCCAGTCTGCTTCAGCAATACAGATTCTGAGATCCTCTTCTCAGGATCGCTTAATTGCAGACATAGAAGAAGAACCCAGGCGCAAAATCAGAACAAGTATTGATGATATGGCCTTTTTCTTAGCTGAGTTAAAACACATAATGTCATCCATTACATCATTAGAGGGTTTATTTGGGAACCCTGGGATAGAGCCTGAAAGAAAGTGTTGTATTTGTAGATACCTAAAAAAATGAGAGGGGGGTGAGTTGTATTTATTAGTCAGCTGTTCAAATGAGGCAAACGATCTTTTAAAGATCTCAGCCCTCGCCTCTGCCAGCCCTGAAATGTGGCATCAGACATTGAAGGGGAAAAAACATAGTTGGAAGCTACTGGGCTCCCTAAGCACATCTTCAGAAGATTAAAATGTTTTCTAAACTGAAAGCAAATCTGGATAATATTATTAACTACAGGATTCTCAATTGTCAGGCTTTTGGGTAACGGGATAGATGCACCTACGACAGATGATAACAAGAAAGAACCAGAAGAGAGCTTCTCCATTTCTACCCATACGGGTCCGCTGCAGTCGTGCTGATGCAGCCAGTAGGTCAGACAGCGTAAATTGGAGGCCCAGTAATAATAACGGAAATTCGGTAGAGCCAGGCCTCCGTCTTGCTTTGATTTTTGCAGATGTGTTTTATGCAAACGTGGTTTCTTATTGTTCCAAAGGTATGATGTAATTACAGAGTCCAATTTCTTAAAATAAGCATTCGGTATGTATATAGGGAGGCTTTGAAACAGATAAAAATATCTGGGTAATACAGACATTTTAACTACATTCACTCTCCCAACTAACGAGAGAGGAAGCGGCAACCATTGTGACAGGTCTTGTTGCATACTGAGGTGTAACTTAGTAAAAATTTCTTTAAAGAGATCGCTGAAGTTTTTCGTCACAGTTATGCCTAGATAGACAAAACTGTGCGTTGCAAACTTGAAGGGAACAGTAATGTTCGCTAATGTGGAAAGAGGCATATTTAGAGGCAGTAATTCACTCTTGTTCAATTCAATTTATAGTCTGACACAAGCCCAAATGTATCAAAAAGTTCAAGAATGTAGGGAATTGTTACCTCAGCCTTGGACACAAACAGCAGGAGATCATCGGCATAGAGAGATTTTTAGTTTATGCTCAGTGCCATATCGCGAAATGCCTTGAATGGCACGATTACTTCTTATAGCTATTGTCAACGGCTCAATAGCTAATACGAAAAGGAGGGGGCTGGGGGGGCAACTTCCAAACCCAAATCTTTGCAAGGCCTCAAATAGATATTCCCATTCTACTCTATCGAAAGCCTCCACATCCATGGAGAGAAGGCATTCGGAAGAACCTTGGCGGTGTGCACGATCCAGTTCGGGGGGAGAGGGGAAAATGTCTCTCCCAAAAACGTCTTGCAACAACTGTGAGAAAAACTTAGATGGTTGTGGACCCTCAATCCCTTCCTCCAGGCCGATAAGGCGGGCATTGCAGCGTCTGTTTCTCGACTCAATGTCCGATAGCTTAGCCTTCAGCTTTTCATTAGCGACCCGTAGTGTCTCACAGGTATCCTCCACTTTAGCAAGGCGCTGGTCGAGCGTTTCGGCGCTTTCCTCCAAAGATTCTAGGCGCTCACCATGGTTGTCCGATGCCTTCTGTAGTCCGTCCAGCTTTTTATTCACGTCATCAAAAAAGCTGACTTTTAGCTCTGCCAGTAAAGCCGAACGGTGCTCAGCTAGCAGTGCTCTTATGTCGGCTTTGCTAACATTCGCAGGAACGCTAGCAGCCGCGCATTCGGTTGTTTTGCCATTCGACTTCGCAGGTTTAGGCAACATGACAGGGCATCACATGTTCTGACGGCTCCACCAAATCACCAAGATATTTGCCTCAAAAGATAAGTTAGGTGGGCTCGCTCAAATAACTAAAAGTTGCGGGAGCTAAGGGAAAGTGTGACTACCCCATGCTCATCAAAACCGGAAGTCTAAAATAGATCCAATACCTCTGTTAATTATTTTCAATATTACTGGTCATAAAGCTTTAGTATCATGTTGACGTAAAGACAGTGGGATATAATCACAAGCCAATGTCACTAAGGTTGGTGTTGAGGTTTCTGTTCCTGACATTGCCACTATGTAGTTTAACTTACGTCTTAATATTTTCACATTTCAAAAAATAAATAACTAAATAGTTTCAGGAGCTGCAGCTGCAGATCATGTGAGGCAGAGACCCAAATGCCGATGACGCAGGAGAACAGGCGAGCCATTCAGTAAGGCTGAAACAAAACAAGGAAAGCCAAAATGATCCACAGGACTTAAACTGGGAAACACTTTATTCATTTAAAAAACTAAATAAATACAATTTTTAAAAAGCAATAAAACCTGAGCAACAACCAAGAAGCTGGAAGATAAGCTGAGACACCAACAAGGGACAAGGGGGGACTGAGATAATATATACACTACGGGGTGATTAGGGAAGTGCAAACACATGGGAACACAGCAGGAACAAATTAGGCATAACAAGAAAGGGGAAGCAAAACTGAACACAATGCACATGAGATGAGGCCTGACAAAATAAAACAGGAAGTTGCAGGAGCAC